ATCTTTGAGAAATTGCTAGCACCCTAAAGATGGTCAAACAAGTCATCTTTCCTAGGGATGGATACCTATTCTTGATTGTGACCTCGTTCAACTTCCTATAGTCAATGTACATTCGGAGAAAACCATATTTCTTCTTCATGAACAATATTGGTGCACTGCATAAAGAAATACTAGGTCTTATGAAGCTCTTATATAGAAGGTTTTTCAATTTCTCTTTCAATTCCTTAAGCTCTGCTGGAGCCATTCTTTAAGGAGGAATAAAAATAGGTTTGGTGTCCAAAAGGAGATCAATTCCAAAATCGATTTCCCTTTCGAGAGAAACTCCAAGAAGATCTTCTGGAAACTAATAAACCACTAAAAGTGACTCAAGAGTTTTTATTTTGGATATTGAATCCTTGACCCTAACTAGATGATAGAGACAACCCTTAGAAATCATTTTTCTAGCTTTAAGGTAAGAAATGAATCGAGCCATAGGCGCTAAGATACTACCCTTGCATTCTAAGATTAGTTAGTCCAGAAATTGAAAATGAAAAATCCTAGTTCTACAATATTTCATGACCCAGACGAGACCGGCATCGTTAACCTCTCAGAGTTCGCAGACAAGCCTACTTACGTCATTGTTACTTCATCTAGGTTAATTTTAGCAGAAAATTTGAATATTTTTACTTATTTCATATGAAACATATTCTAATTAACATCATAGGCGTTCACAATCAATCATCTAATATTAATATCGTCAAATGAAAGAAATAGTTCAATAATAAACTAAATGTAAACTTGCAAAAACGACACCAATACAATGTCTGAAATAATATGGGAAAGAAACGCTAGTTAAACATACTCCACTAGCTAAAACCTACATCTAAGATAGATGATAATAGAATACATCCTCGAAAGCATGAGGGCCTACCAAGTACAGATGAATGCTCCACGTTCGGATAGCTAAAGCATCATTTCGTAAGCTCTAACGTCCGCCTATGCCTGCACCTAAAAGTACAGAGTTGTACGGGATAAGTACACACTTGTACTAAGTATGGGTATATGCAAGCACACACCAAGGACATACATGATTAAGAAAATCTCTCTCCTAACGATATGAATTATGGAAAGTCAAGTCAGTGGACTTGCCAAATTCAAATTAGGAAAGTCATGCCATGAGAGTAACCCGCATCATCATACTTATCATTTCGCAAATAGCGCATAATATATTGCAAATATCATATCACATAGTTCATATCATTCTTTCATATGCCATGAGACCTTTGAATTATGAACTTGACATTAGGACTTCCAAAAATGAGGGCTCAACATATGGGACCTCAATTAGGGAGCCTTCTTTAGCAAACACAGAGTCTGCTTCATTCATTCGTACGTACTTCATTTTAATTCTTTCATGTACTAGTTCAACCACCAGTCATACCTAGGATGTAGTTTAAGACTGTCATCGGGTTCGTTGTGCAATGACCAAGAATAACCTAGTGTCATTACTTAATTTTAGCTCACCTCTTGATTATCCTATCCTAACACCTTTGGTATCGTTCATTTCATTGTGTATTCTTTAAGGCTCTCCTCATTCTTTCTTCGAGAACTATAAACTTAATGGACATAGATCATGTGAGCATCATAAAATCCAGTGTATTCCCCACACCAAAAAGAGGTGGAATCACCGGCAAAAGTGACCTAACATGCTAGTTTATATGGGGATTCGAACCCTGCTAGATCCCTATATCGGCAATAGAGGTTCAAAGACTAGGATATATAAGGAGACCCATACCCGGCATGCCGGACAGTCTCATCTCATGATATTTACGTGAACCTCCGCCCTTCCCGAAGGAAGGCATCACCACTCATAGTTAGCCTATCCGTGCTTAGTATAAAGTTCCATTACATTCAACTCATACATCATGGAAGTTGGCTTCTAGCATGATGACTTCATAGATCATAAGATGATTTCTCATCTCATCATTAGTAATAAGTATGCATTAACTTCAATACTTTCATTAGAGTGTTCATAGAGACTGGTCTCTTCATTAACTTCACAGTCTTATAGGTGAGTACATCTTGGTAACATTTACTTAGGCTCATTTGAGATTCCTCTCACCTTTCGCTTTAGCCTCTTATCATGTTGTCAACACATCCTTTAACTTTATCACATTAACTCTTCAAAAGTACTCATCACTTTATGTAAATGTTCTTTTCATCATATGCCAATGCACTTAAGCTTTTAATGTGTTTCACACTCTTACTTAATCCTTCTGGGGTCTCATCATTCATCACATAACATCTTAGGATCACTTTCGTTATAATGTATGTTGGACTTATGAGTCCACACACACAAGTCATGAGGCTTCATTCATAGTTTATTTAAGCAATTCATATTGCCCAAGATTATGTGTTACAAGACATATGTATCATGTAAGTATGCCAAGGTCTCAATTTGATTCCTATCGGCAGCATTCATTAAGTATTTTATCACGTAAGACTTATGTGTCAATACGGAATTGGGCAAGGGAACCCAATTTTGAATCCCTTGAGTAAAACTTAAGCTTATAGTAAACTTTATAATTGCATTTTTCAGATTTGGGGGACCCTAGTTCTATATCCATCACTCCCATAATATTTTCCTATCTTTTTCGTTTAAGGCAAGGAGGTTGTGGTATCAATCCCCCACAAGATCAGTATTTTTATTTTAATTTACCTCTTAACTTTCTCACCTATCCAAGAGGTTGTAAATTCAATCCCCACTTACCACATTTATTTTTCCTCCTTTTATTTTTCTCCTAACTCTCTCATCTATTCAAGAGGTTGTGTATTCAATCCCCAGTCACTACATCTATTTTTCCTTCTTTAATTTTCTCCTAACTCTCTCATCTATTCAAGAAGTTGTGGGTTTAATCCCCACTCACCACATATATTTTTTTCTCCTAACTCTCTCATCTACCAAGAGGTTGTGGTTCGAATCCCCACAGCCTCACCTTTTTTTAATTTACATTTTCTCCTTACCTCCTCATTTTGCAAAGATGCTGTAGGTTCGAATCCCACATACCTCATTTTTATTATTTCTTTATTTCATTTTTCTCCTCTCTCTCTTTCATCCGTCCAAGAGGTTGTGGGTTGGAACCCCACATGCCTCACTTCATTTTCTTTCATTTTCCCCCTAACTTTTTACTTGAGTTTTTCCCCATTTCGAATACCCCTTACCACATTTTATTATTTAACTTTTTATAACATGTATATGGTGAGGTCTTGGGTTCAATCCCCACTGACTAAGCATTTAAAAAATATATTAGAACGTGATTTTTTTTTACAATAAGCTGCCCAATAACAAACCTCCAGAATGCTAGACATTTGTTCACCCTCTTTGCCTTTTATTTTCTCAACGTTTTGATGTTAGATTTAGGATAAATTTTCGTGTAACATCTAGTGCATCTTTAGGTGATTTTTCATGGTTATTTTTGAGAATTTAATCACCTTTTTCAGTCTATGTTATCACCCTCGTTCACGTTAAACATCAAGACATTTTGAGTAGTTTTTAGGGAGATCTTTACGTGCATTTTCAAGGTTACTTTCAATCAAGAATTATCATTCAATTCAGGAACTTTGAACTCATATGAACATCACTTTTTTAACATATTAATATACGTAAAATACAACATATTTACATGTAAAAATCTATACTTCAAACCTTTGCTAACTCACGGCACACACATGCACAATCAAGTTAACGTAATTCACTTTTTCGGAACACATCTACTATTTCTCACATAATTTCTGAATACACATTCAAACACGTAATCACAACCAGACCTCAAATCATTTACCAGAAGTCATACCAATGCATACTTTAAATCTTTCAAAGGATCTAATGACAGGGGAATCAACGGAGACAACCTTAGTTTTTTTTTTAATGGAATAAAGCTGAATTTAGGGGTCTCTTGGGAAAGGGACCAAGAGAGAAGAACAGTCCTACTTAATGTCGTTCAAAACTTATTTAAAGCTTCCAATTTACCACGAAACCAAGTCTCACCACCGAAACATCAAGCACAATCCCATCAAGAACTTTGTTTTGTGTTACGTTTGTAGACTATATTTTCTTTTGAGTTCTTTTTTAGCATTCAAGTTCTTGATGAACTTCATATTTTGTTGTTCTATTCTTTTAGAGAAAAATCGTACGTTCAAGTGAGATGAGAGTAGAGTGAAACGTGAGCTTGAGTGGATTGGCATCAGGAGAGTTAGGTGGAGACTTAGTCAAACTATAACTCCTCATTATTTATTATTATTATTATTATTATTATTATTATTATCTTTTTTATTAAAAATCTGATTCTCCTTTAATTAAATCAGCAATTCAAATATTAATAACTTTTAATTAATTCACTAAATATAATAAATTAATTAAATCATTGCTCCCACAAAGGCTCGAACCCGGGTGGAGCAAGATTTCGCTCAAAGGGTAAATTTCGGCACTCTCTACCCGAATTGCCGCTCCACTATATTAATTAAATAATTAATAAATATTTAGGGTAATTACGATACTACCCTTATCCTGGAAAGAGAGCATTTTACCCCTGGAAAAAAACCATTTTACCAAACTTAAGATTTCCCCTTTTTAAGTCCGGTAAAGACTCATACGGGTAAACCTTCATATTCGGGTGCCCTACATGGCTGGACCCAACCTTTCCTAGCTCAACTAACTCACCTAGTTAGTTGGCTTGGCTGTTGCAGAGGTTCAGAGTTCTGTTTCAACGCGCATCAATCCGTGTGAACCCGATCTAATCGTAGCCATTCTAGACACATTAAACAATACTTAGCATATCCATTTTTAGGGTTGTTATATTCCCCCCCACCCTAGGAACATTCGTCCCCGAATGACACTTTTTATAATCTAGCATAACTCCAGTTATATCATAATCATAACATAGGTATTATACAGAGTCAGGCAATAACAACCAGGAATGGAGGAGTTAAGGAACTTAGACTTAAGAGCAGAAAATCTAACCTCAAGAGCTGAAGAGATGAGGGTAAAGGGATCTCATATCGGCCTCGGTCTCCCACATAGAACCCTCAACAAGATGGTTCCTCCATAATACCTTCACTGTGGTAAGCTCCTTGTTTCTTAGCCGCTTTACCTGCCGATCTAAAATCTCAACAGGAACCTCCTCATAGGACAAGTCTTCATCAACTCCCAAACCTTCTACAGGCAGAATCGATGATGGATCACCAAGGTACTTCTTTAACATAGAGACATGAAAAACTTGTTGAACAGAAGCTAGCTCCGCAGGAAATGCCAACTCATTGGCCATCTCACCCACACGATGTAGGATCTCATATGGCTCAACATACCTCAGACTCAACTTCCCCTTCCTCATCACCCCCTTCATAGGTGATATCTTCAAATCGACCTGGTCACCAACATTAAACTCTAAGGTTCATTTTCTGTTGTCTGCATAAGACTTCTGCCAACTGTACACAGCAACCAACCTGTCCCTAATCACCCTGACCTTCTCTAAGGCCTCATGAATTATCTCTGGACCCAAAATGGATGACTCTCTAACCTCGAACCACCCAACTGAAGACCTACACCTTCTACCATACAGTGCCTCAAATGGCCCCATCCCAATACTGAGTGATAACTGTTAACAAATGAGAACTCTATCAAAGGCAGATGGTCGTCCCAACTACCTCTGAAGTCAATCACACACGCTCTCAGCATGTCCTCCAATGTCTGAATGGTGCGCTCTGCCTGCTCATCGGTGTGAGGATGAAAGACAGTACTAAGCTTTACCAGCGTGCTTAAGTTCTTCTGGAAGGATCTCCAAAATTGTGAAGTGAACAGAGCTCCACTATATCAATGATAGACAAATGAATCCCATGCCATCTCACAATCTCATCAATGTAGAGTCTTGCATAATCCTTGGCTCTGTAAGTTGACTTCACAGGGATAAAGTTGGCAGACGTAGTCATCATGTCCACAATAAACCATATGGAATCATGTTTTCTTCTAGTCTTCTGAACACCAACCACGAAGTCCATATTAATGGCCTCCCACTTTAAAGTCAGAACCTCGATTATCTGAGTAAGACTGTCAGGCTTAAGTTGTTCTGTCTTGACCTATTGACAATGAGGTTACTTGGCCACATATTCAGCAATGTCCTTCTTTATGCCATCCGACCAATAGATCTGCTTAAGGTCATGATATATCTTGGTGGAACCTGGATGTATCGAATATATGGAACCATGGGCCTCTGGAATAATTTTGGTCCACAAATCATCCACATTAAGTACACACAACATGTCTTGGTACCTAAGTTTGTCATCACCTCCCAAAACAAAAGACTCATTCATCTTTACCAACAGTCCTTCAACTACATCAACACCAGATCAAGATGTTGACCCTTCTTGACTTCAAATACAAAGTATGATTCAGAACAAGGATGAACTGAAAAACCCCCACTAGTAGAGTCAACCAACCGCACACCCAGTCTGGCCAGTTGTGTACATATTTCACCAACTCCTTCGTCTCATCCTCAACGTGGGTTGTACTTCCAATGTTCATCCTACTCAAAGCATCAGCGACAACATCAGCCTTACCCCTTTGGTAGTGGACATTCATGTCATAGTCCTTCAACAGCACCAACCACCTCCGCTGACGTAGATTCAACTCCCTCTATGTGAACAAGAACTGGAGACTTTTGTGGTCTGTGAACACATCCATATGCACTCTATACAAATAGTGTCTGTACAGTTTCAGTGCAAACACCACAACTTCCAACTCCAGGTCATGAGTGGGATAATTATTTTCATAAACCTTGAGATTTCTCGACGCATAGGTTATCACCTTACCAGCCTGCATAAGAACATTTAGGCAAAGTAAGCACTGGGTTGAAGTGAGTTTGTTCTTGAGCTCATGGAAACTCTTCTCACAAGTCTCTGCCTTTTAAAGCTTGACTTTCTTCTTCGTCAAAGATGTGAGTGGGGAAGCAATGAAAGAAAAACCTCCATGAACCTGCGATAATAACCAGCCAATGCCAAGAAGCTACGGATATCTGTGGGAGTAAGAGGTTTTGGCCAATTCTTAACAACCTAAGTCTTCCTGGGATCTACCTCCACACCTTTGTCGGACACAACATGACCCAGGATGGTCACTGATCTAAGCCAGAATTCACACTTGCTGAATTTGGCATATAACTAATGTTGTCTAAGTACCAGCAAGGTTAGTCTCGAATGTTGTTCATGCTCTTCCTTGGTCATAGAATAGATGAGAATGTCATCAATTAATACTATGACGAAAGAGTCAAGGTATTCACAGATGACTCTGTTCATGATATCCATAAATGTAGCAGGTGAAGTACTGAGACAAAATGACATAACTAGAAACTCGTAATGACCATACAGGGTATGAAAGGCTGTCTTAGGAATATCTTTATCCCTAACCCTAAGTTAATGGTACCCTGAACAAAGATCAATCTTCGAGAAGAAACTAGACCCTTGGATAAACTTGACTCCCCTTGGTGGGAGAGACCCTTCTTAAACCTGGTCATATCCCTGATTTCAATACTACTCTTACTTGAAAAATTCTTCTCAACTTGCCTTGACCTGTTCCCGGCCCTAGTATGCTTCTTCTTCCTGCTTTCCTCCACTTGTTGCACATGGACCATAAGCCTGGAAAGGTCCATGCCATCATGCAGCATAGATTCCCTACACTCCTCCTAGAGATCCTCAACAATCTTAGATCCAATGTAAACGGAAGGACTCACACTTGTGAAGTCCCTTAATTTGCTAGCCATGGTGCTGGAAGGTGGGTTCTCCCTGGGCACACCTTGTTGCTCCGCCTGGGTTGTCATAGCATGAGCTTGTAAAGTGATGGCTTGGGCCATCTGTACCAAGCTTCTCCTCACTTCTCCAACTGTCAACCTAGTTGGGTTAACAGGCATCCTCATTCCAGCAGCTGGAACCTAGGGAGGAACTTGATTTACCCAAGAACCTTCTCCTCCAATCTCTCTTCCTGCGTTTCTCCTCGTATTTATCATTCTAAATCTCAAGAGTTGATGTTAGATACACTCTTAACACCAAGAAATCAGACATTAGAGAAGGCATGATAAGATCAGAAGAAGGGAATTTTTTTCTTATGCTCATGCACTCTCTAATTCAGGATAGTGGTGCACTTCACTACCATCACTTAGAAACTACTCAATGTGGTTGATGTGAACTTATTATCCTCAGAATTTAACCTAGGTCTCTGATACCAACTTTTTCACAATCGGAGTCTAGACCAAGACGAGACCGGTGTCGTTGACCGCTTAGAGATCGCAGACAAGGCTACTTACATCACGTTACTTCATCTAGGTTAATTTTAGCGGAAAATTTGAACTTTTTGTTTACTTATTTCATATGAAACATATTCTACTTAACATCATAGGATTTCACAATCAACCATCTAATATTAAGATCATCAAATGAAAGAAACAGTTTAATAATGGATTAAATGTAAACTTGCCAAAACGACACCAAAACATTGTCTGAAATAATATGGGAAAGAAACGCTAGTGGAACATACTCCACTAGCTAAAACTACATCCATGAAAGCATGAGGGCCTACCAAGTCCAGATTAATACACCACGTCTGGATAGTTGTAGCGTCGTATCATAAGCTCGAGCGTTCGCCATTGCCTGCACCTAAAAGTATATAGTTGTATGGGATTAGTACACACCTGTACTAAGTATGGGTATATGTAAGCACACACCAAGGACATGCATCATTAAGAAGAGCTCTCTCCTAACGATATTAATTATGGAAAGTCAAGTTAGTGGACTTGCCAAATTTGGATTAGGATCATTTTGCAAACAACACATAACATATTGCACATATCATATCACATAGTTCATATCATTTTTTCATATGCTATCAGACCTTGGAATCATGGACTTGACAATAAGACTTCCCAAAAGGAGGGTTCAATATATGGGACTTCAACTAGTAAGCCTTCTTAGCAAACACATAGTCTACTTCATTCATTCATACGTACTTCATTTTATTCTTTCATATAATTTTTCAACCACAAGTCATACCTAGGATGCAGTTTACGACTCTCATCGGATTTGTTGTACAATGACAAAGAATAACCTAGTGTCACTATTTTAGTCTAGCTCACCTCTTGATTATCATATCCTAACAACTTTGGTATCGATCATTTTGATTATGTGTATTCTCTAAGGCTGGCCTCATTCTTTCTTTGGGAACTTTAACCTTAAGCGACATAGATCATGTGAGCATCATGAAATCCAGTGTCTACCCGACACCGAAAAGAGGTGGAATCACCGGCAAAAGCGACCCGATCATGCTAGATATAGAAAGTCGAACTCTGCTAGATCCCTATATTGGCAATATAGGTTCAAAGACTAGGATATATAAGGAGACCCAAAACTGGCATGCCGGAAAGTCTCATCTCATGAGATTTACGTGAACCTCCGCCCTTCCCAAAGGAAGGCATCACCACTCATAGCTAGCCTATCGGTGCTTAGTATAAAGTTCCGTTGCATTCAACTCATACATCATGGAAGTTAACTTCTAGTATGAGGACATCAAAGCTCATGAGATTCCTCTATTATTTTACCTTAGCCTCTTATCATGTTTTCACCACATTCTTTAACTTTAGCACATCAACTCTTCATAAGTACTCAACGCTTTACGTGATTGTTCTTTTCATCATATGCCAATGCACTTGGCCTTTTTAGTGTGTTTCACACTCATACTTAACCCTTCTGGGGTCTCATCATTCATCATATAAAATCTTAGGTTCACTTTCTTTATAATGTATGTTGGACTTATGAGTCCACACACACAAGGCATGAGGCTTCATATTGTTCATTTAAGCGATTCATATTGCCCAAGATTATGTGGTACAAGACTTATGCATCTAGTAAGTATGCGAAGGTCTCAATTTTATTCTTACGGGAAGCATTCATTAAGTATTTAGTCACGTAAGAATTATGTGTCAATACGGAATTGGGCAAGGAAACCCGATTTCGAATCCCTTGAGTAACACTTAAGCTTATTGTAAACTTGATAATTGCATTATTCAGATTTGGGGGACCCTAGTTTGATTCCATCACTCCCATAATATTTTCCTTTCTTTTTCTCCTTTCTTTTTCGTTTAAGGCAAGGAGATTGTGGGATCAATCCCCTAAAAGCTCATTCTTTTTCTTTTGATTTAACTCTTAACTTTCTCACTTATCTAAGAGGTTGTGGGTTCAATACCCACTCACCAAATTTATTTTTCCTCCTTTATTTTTGTTCTAACTC